TGAACCTCTTTTAGGTAAATGTCTGGTTCCCTGATTCAGGGCATCCCTGGGTTTCTACCCCAGGTTTGCATCACCCGGGCCAACAGGTTCTTACCCTGGACAATGGGTCCCTGGTGAGAAAGGAGGGGGATGGGAAGGCACCTAACTAAAGTCTGACCTACTTTCAGTAGGGACCCACCCTCAGTCAGTCAGTCAGTCTGCCCAAGATTTAGGCCACTCAAGATTTGCATAGGGCGTTGCCCTGTTACCCAGAACAACCAACTGTCAAGGAGACTAGATCAAACCCCCAGCCCCTCCTGTGCTCACTGCACATGCATGCGCACATGTAAAGGTGCTGTTTACATTCCTAACCATGGCCCCCAGCCCCCTAAGAGCATTCCAAGGAGCTCTGACCAGAGCTTAGAGCCCTTGATCCCTCTCGACTTTTTCTCTTTCTTTTTAAAGATTAAAAAAAAATATTTTTATTTTGTGTATGTGTGCTTTGTCTGCATGTACGGATGTGTACCATGTGCGGGCATGTCTGGTGCCTGAGGAGAGCAGAAGGCGTCAGATCCCCAGGCCCTGCAGTTACACCCAGTTGTGAGCCACCACATGAGTGCTGGGAACGGAACCCAGGTCCTCTGCAAGAGCAGCTAGTGTTTTGGCTTTTTTTTTTTTTTTTTTTTTTTGGTTTTTCGAGACAGGGTTTCTCTGTGTAGCTTTACTAGCAAACAGAGGATCTAACAAAGCCTCCAAATAGTGAGGTCATGCCTCAGAATCCCAGACTTCAAAGAAGCCAAGTGGAAGTCCATACCATATGAATTCAGGGCTGTACTTTATTGAGTGCTGTTCATTGAGTCTGGCTCTAGGGAGCTAAAATTAGCACTATATGTATATGTGAGTGCGTGGTGTGTGTGTGTATGTGTATGTGTGTGTAGTAAGCTAGAATGTCTGGCTGGTGGGAGTGTGAAGGGTATTGTGGTTGGTTTTTTGTTTTATTTTGTTTTTTGTTTTTTGAGACAGGGTTTCTCTGTGTATCGCCTTTCCTGGAACTCACTTTGTAGACCAGGCTGGCCTCGAACTCACAGAGATCTGCCTGGCTCTGCCTCCTGAGTGCTGGGATTAAAGGCGTGTGCCACCTCTGCCCAGCTGTTTTTGTTTTGATACTTTTTTTATTGATTGATTTATTGAGACAGGTCTTCTACTGTAGTCAAGGATCAGTGGCCTGGAACTCTAAGTAGCCCAGGCTCACTCTGAACTCATAGTAATCCTCCTGCCTTAGCTTCTAAACTCCTTGGATTATAGGTATGATCAGCCACCGTACAATAGATTGCTTTGAACTATATCTGTTGTCTTTTTTTTTCTAAACTTAATTTCTATTTTATGCATATGGGTATTTTGCCTGCGTGTATTTGTGTGCCTGGAACTCATGGAGGCCAGAAGAGTGGGCCGGAGTCTCTGTAGCTGGAGATACAGGAGGTTGTGAGCTGCCATGTTGGGTGTTGGGAATTGAACCCTTGTCCTTTGCAAGAGCAGCAATCGCCCTTAACCTCTAAACCATCTCTCTCTAGCCTCCACACCTGTTGTCTTAAGCCAAGGTTTAGGTCAAAGAGAGGCCACCAGTCTACTCTAGTCCCCCGTTGAGTGAGATAGCACGTTCCGTTGGTGGCCCTGGTTCCTTGGTTCCTCTGCTCTTCTTCCGGAAGCTCCTGATAAACAGAAAGAGCACAGTTTACATATTAGAATTTTCTAGAACCAAGCGAAAGCCCTGCCTTTCATTTTATTATCTTGACTCCAATAAAAGAGATGGAGTGGGAAGTGGGCTTATGTCCTCAAACCCACTGCAAGGACTCTTCAGAGCCACCTCTCTGACTTGGGGGTATGAGTAACATCTGTAACCCCCAGCACGAGGAAGGCAGAAGCTGGAAGATTAAAAATGTAAGGCCATCCTACAGAACTAGACTCTGTCTCAAAAAAAAAAAAGTTCTTTGTCAGGGAGAAAAGTGCAGCGGAAACAGGGTCAGAGGTGACGGGCCTCCTTCCCTTCCTCCCAGCCTCAGCCTTCATACCTCACACAGACTGCAAAACAACCTTGCTTCTTGCCAAGAGCAGTTAGGCTGACTGGATTGCTGCTCTGGCTCCCTCCGCCTTCTCACTGGCTGCACACTCCAGGAGAGAGTCTTGATCTCTGGCCCTTCCTTGATATGGAAACATGCTCATCGAGAGGACGTGGGCAGGACCACCACAGCTATAAACAAAGCGGAGGGCCTTGGGGAGACCCAGAGCAGCTAAGGGGCGTGTGCTGTGTGGGGTGGGGTGGGGGGTCTAGAGAGCGCCATGGGTCCCTTTTGGGATTTGGAGCAGCCCTGGCAGATGCCTGGGTGGGGTCCCTGGGCTCGGACCCAGGCAGGGAGGTCACAAAGAGCAGGCGGCCGGGGACAGAGCAGCTCACCTCCCAGCTCTCTTTCCACACAGTCTAGGAGGAGGGGGGAGAGGGAGGGGAGGCTGAGTTCAAAACCAAGTTTTCCTGGAAAGTCTCTTTCCTTGTATGTCCTAGCTCCTCCCAGTTCCTCCCAGGGTGCTCTGCAGCAGCTTCCTAGCTCTGGGCCCAAGGGACAGGGCGTGCCAGAGAAAAGACTGCTTCCCCGTCTGTCCCACTCTTGTTAGGTGTGGGGGAACAGAGCTGAAGCCTAGCCTTCAGATGATCGGCGGCCGAGCCGGCTGCCCAGTCAACATCACTGGCCTTAGCTCTCGGCTTACTTTTCCCTCGGTGCCCTCACTCTAAGATTTTTGGGGTGTGTGTGTGTGTCTCATATTGTTTAAGTCTCAAACCCCTGGGCTCAAGTGGTCCTCCTGGCTCAGTTTCCCAAGTAGCCCAGGGCAAACCACCATGCCTGCCTATATGCTTTTCTCTGCTTCCTAGGGGGGCTGCCCTGACTCCCAGGATTCCATTATTTCTTTCTCTGGAGCTGCCTAAAAGCAAGTGAAGAAAGGCTTCATGTAAAAAAAAGAAAAGCATCCCGGAAGCACTTCAGGGGACTTGGAGGAGAGAAGCAGGTGGCACCTGGCTGCTTGTGGATGCTTCTTCTATCTTCTCCGTACAACCCAAGGCCTTCTCCAGACCCGTGTTCGACTCCTGATTCAACTGCTGCTCTGAAAGAGAGATGCTAATTGTTTCTAAGTCCCGGTCGGTCAGTGTTTCTTCTGCTCATCTAGCCACGATCTCTGTGATGTTCATAAACGAGCATGGCTGAGTGGTGACGGCACACATCTTTAATCCCAGCATTGGGGAGGCACAGACAGGTGGATCTCTGTGGGTGTGAGACCAGCCTGGTCTACAGAGTGAGTTCCAGGCCTGGTAGGGCAGTCACTCAGAGAAACTCCGGTGTCAAAACAAAACACGCAAAAACACAACACGCAATGGATGTTTGACCTTGGGCCAGTCCCTTCTTTTCTTTAGTAAGAGGAGGGAAGACACCCCCTGCCCCCACAGCGTCCTGCCCTGTAGAGAGCTACATGCATGGTAGTCCTCCTGCCTCTGCCTCTCAAGGATGATGATTACAGGCATGAGCCACCACACTCTGCCAATGGAAGGGGGGATTAAAATGATCCTCATGTCCTCTCAGGTAACCTGTGAACTCCTTCTGCTCCCATGAAGCACTGCAGGGAGCAGACCCCTCCACATTAGCACCTCAAAGCACTTTCACCATGCTGTCCTTTTTATTTCCCAGATAAAGGGAAATGACTCACCCCAAAGTCAGTTGAGTGGGCAGTGTGGTGTCGTAAAAACAAACAGGGAGTCCCCAGGGATATCCCCACTGTATCTATGTCGTTCCTTTCCTGGGGATATTCTTCCTGGGGGCGTGGGGGGAAGAGGGGAGGTAAGGGAAAGGGGATCACATTGTCTATCCGGCCTTGTCACCATAGCAAAAACCAGCTTAAACTCTTGACTCCAGGGAAATCTCCTTCCCCAGCTTGGTGTCCCGTGTCCCGTGTCCCATGCTCCCCCGTTCCTCCCAACTCCAATAACCTCACCAATAACCTCGGGGTGAGGTCAGTTCTGCAATCACGTGAAGGTCTCACGTTTGCTAGGTTTGCAAAAAGGGCCTTTTAGCTTTGATCTTCCACGGAGCAGTAAAGCTTGCCAGGCCCTCCCCAGGAATTCACATGCCCTTGCCATACAAGGCTTCCCAAACACGCCACCCTGACTCTTCAGAAAACTCCACCCCAGTCCACTTGCAGCTCCTCCCCGCTGCCTACAAGCACTTTTGCTTAGCAGAAAAGGCGACTGTCCGCACTCCGCCTACTTTGTCAGTAGACTACAAATCCCAACAATCTCGGCGGTGCGCAGACGCATAGAGCTCAACGTGCCGGCGGCTGGAAAAGTGTGTCACTGGGGCACGAGGCGCTCCCTGGAATCACATGGTACCTGCTCCAGTGCCGCGTGCGGCCCGGGAACCCTAGGCTGCTGGCGCCTGCGCAGAGCCCTCTGTCCCAGGGAAAGGCTCGGGCAAAAGGCGGTTGAGATTGGCAGAGTGAAATATTACTGCTGAGGGAACGTAGCAGGGCACACGTCTCTCTTTGCGTCTGGGTGCCTCGTTTCTCCATCACCTACTTACTTCCTGGTTGCAGCTTCTCTCCCTTTGGGACTTTTGCACCCGGAGCTCCAGATTCGCTACCCTGCAGTGTTGCGGAGCCTTCAGGAGTGGCATCCGGTGTACTGCAGAGACCCGACCCTCCTTGCTACCTAACAGCCAGATCTGCTGCAGGCTCATTCCTCACACACATTCTCTCTGCTCTTCCCATGCAAATCAGACCTCGGTTGCCTCAGCGTCCTACCCTCCTGCAGGGCTGCAGTCCGGCCACCCCAGAACCTTACTGCTCGGTGCCTGGAATCCTGATTTTGAGCCGCGGGCTCCACTTGTCTCCCTCAGCCATTGCCCAGGGGGCGAGAGAGACCATCGCAGCCTCCAGTTTGTGTCAAGGTCCAGTTTGAATGACCGCTCTCAGCTGGTGAAGACATGACGACTCTGGACTCCAACAACAACACAGGTACTGAGATTCTTATTATCCTCCTTGCTCTGTCACTGTCTCCATTTCCATCCACGGCTTATGAGAGGAACTTTGTAAGGGATTGGGGATTCCCTCTGGCCGGCGTTTGCTACTGTGCTGAGAGCCACTAGGAAGGATTTCCAGAGCCGGTTACTCTGGCTGGGAATGCGCCTAAAGCATATCATTACCACTACCCCTCTGAATTCCCCCGAGCCCGAGGAACTTGAATCTTGGGCAGGTGAAATGGAAGGTGGATACTAGTGGCGAGGGGAAGAGTTTAGGGAGACTGAGCACTCGGAAGCAGTGTCTGGAAAGATCCCCATCTGTTCACCCTTTGCAGCTCTAGTGTCTGTCGCTTTTCCCTTGCCTCCAGTTCTAGCCTACTTCCAAGGAGCCTGGGAAGCTGTGGGATTGGAGGGGCTGAAGGAATGGGTCAGATCTTGCAGGGGAATCCTCAGTGGCTGTAGGGAGCTCCACTTGAGGAGTCGGGTGCTCGGGGCTCTTCTCCAGGCAGGGCACCCACAGCGCCTGAGCCTGGGGGGGGCTCACATGGCTGCAGAGCCGGGCCCACGTGCTGCATTTGTTTTCATTCAGTAGAAGCCGTGGCCACCATCCCATTGGTCATTGCTTCCCGGCCTCGTTACATAATGAGCTCCGCCCCTCAAGTTGCCTGAGCAACGCGTGTTCCCTTCTCTCCTCCCTTCTGATGTCCCGGCCCAGCTTGGTTTTAGGGCCCAGCCTTCGACCCAGGACGCCGCCGGAGGGGCGGGGCGAGGGCGGGTTTCTGCTTTCGACAGTGGGGAAGAGAAGAAGGCGGTGCTTCGAGTTCCGGGGTTCCTCGTTGGGGAGCCACGTGCGAGGGGCACACGTGGAGCGGGGACGTGAGGCCAGCTGAGGGCCAGGCTCCCGCCCCGCCCTTCTCCACCTAGATCTGGGTGAAGCTGGGCTGACTCACCGCCCCCGCCTGCCTTCTTTTCCTCTCTGGCCCTCTTACCCTCCATGACCGAGACTTGAGTAAGATGGGGCCATCCCGGTGACTTCTTCTGGCCTCGAGTTTATGCATCCCAACGAGACCTCACACTGGATCATCCTTACTCCCCCTAATCCGAATCACACCAACATCATTTTATTGCTTTTAGACCCAGCTTTTCCTTATTCGTTCCCAAAGTCTTACTGTTTCCCAAGTGGCTCTTTGCCTGCCATGAATGTCTTCTCCTTCAAAACATGAACATCTTAGAATCAAAGCAGAAATCCTACTTCTTTTCATCATACTGTTTTTTTTTTTTCCTCACAGAGAGGAAAACAGACCAAAAGAGGAAGAGTTGATTTCCTCTAGGTTGGAAAGCAAATTGGTAGTGATACAGCTCTAGATTTAGAACTAGGGTCTTTTAAGCAGCGCCCCTCAGTTCAAAGTTGGAGGACTTTTTGAATGACTTTCTCGTGCCCTCTTTCAGGATGGGTAAACTAGGTCAAGTTCATTTAGGTCCACATAAATATCCCATCCCCCACCCCAGCCGTGAAACTGTAGCCGCTTAGCCATCCTGCGACTGTTTTACGGGCAGCTGGGTTCACCCTGACCAACCTTGAGCTATTTTAAGGCCGCCCTGCCTAGTTTAGTGTGTGTCAGTGGGTGAGCAAGACATGTGCTTCCGCAGACACGGTGGCATGGCATGTGTCAGCACACACACGTGTCTGGGGATCCTCCCTTGCCCCACTCCACCCAGGGCAGGCCAAGCAGAGTGCTTGGCAGAGGTGTGGCGGGCACGTCACCCTTCCCTTCTGCAGAGACCACGGGAGCAGGGCCACCTGGTTGGCCATGTAACCGGAGAAACAAAGTCCTTGAGTGGCCATAGAGCCAAAGTCATCATCTGGCTGAGACCCGAAAGCGGGACCGCCTGAATCCCCAAGCTGGACAATTTATATATACCTCCATCTCCTGCAGCTCCTATCTCTTAAGTCTTTCTTGGACTCCGAGTCATTGTGACTCATCACTTGGAGGCCAGGGGAACCAGGCTGAACAGAGCCCTTCTCTGCAGTACTCTGTGAGACTAGGTCTTTGGGTTTGAAGCGAAGACGACTGTCTTACCTTTGTGTGACCTCTATCCTATTAACTCTTGGCTAGCCGCCGCCCTTCACGGCCCACCACTGGATAGGTCTTAGCGTAGAACTGGCAGCTTGGTTTGTGGGTGGCTGTCAGCCACCCACCCTATCCCCAAGTCTGCCCCCTTATAACTAAGTTACTAGCTACAGTTGCTACGTCCCCCAGGAAAATATCTAGGGCAGGGGTTCCCACGTATGAGATGCCCAGTGGGGTTATGCCTCACACCCAAAGCGGAAGTTGAATGTATTGTGCAAATAAATGGCCATGGGTGTTTCCTGTGACCAGGTCGACTCTCCTATGTAGCGTGTGATGGAGAGTTTCTTGGAGTGACTAGGTTGACCTCGTCATGTCTAGTGTGTGGGGGAGAGCTGCTTATCACTCCAAGGTTAGGGGCTCTACGTGAATAACTCCTAAGAGGAACAGTATTTTGGTGATGATCGGCTGGTGCCCTTGACCCACAGACACGATGCTTGAGACCCTCCTCTTGCATTCTCTCATTATTAGGTGGTGTTATCACCTACATCGGCTCCAGTGGCTCCTCCCCCAGCCGGACCAGCCCCGAGTCTCTCTACAGTGACAGTTCCAATGGCAGCTTCCAGTCCCTGACTCAAGGTTGTCCCACATACTTCCCACCATCACCCACCGGCTCCCTCACCCACGACCCTGCCCGCTCTTTTGGAAGTGTACCACCCAGCCTCAGTGATGATAGCTCCCCTTCTTCGGCATCTTCGTCGTCCTCCTCCTCCTCCTCCTCTTCCTCCTCCTTCTACAACGGGAGCCCCCCAGGAAGTCTACAAGTGGCCATGGAAGACAGCAGCCGAGTGTCTCCCAGCAAGGGCACCAGCAACATTACCAGTGAGTAGATGCCCAACTGATTTAGGGGAAAGGAAGTGAGCCAGGATTTAGTTGATAGTTGGTTTCCATCCATCTAGAGACAGTTACTCTCCGGGTCTGTGTCCGGGCCTTTGGGATTTCTCTTAAGAGTTGTACAAGCTTGGGCGTTGGTGGCGCACGCCTTTAATCCCAGCACTCGGGAGGCAGAGCCAGGCGGATCTCTGTGAGTTCGAGGCCAGCCTGGGCTACCAAGTGA